TGACGGTTTACTGACCTATTCGGAGAACCACCATTTCCCTGCACGCGAGTAGTAGCGCTCGCCACCACAAGCGATTGGGCCTTTAAAGAAGAGGATGTCGTCTGAGTATGAATCAGAGTACGAGCTCTTAGAATAGACTTGTCAAGATGGAGAATACCATCGGGAGCAGCTGCTGAACGTACTTGTGCAGCAACCTCAGTAGGTAGACCCCGTACAAACTGCTCAGCGATAATATTAGGGCAAGCTGATGGATCAGTACCAGATAGAGTTAGGTAACGTTTCAAGTCAGAAACATAATTATCAATAGATTCACCTTGAGCAAACCGTCTACTCTAAAATGCTATAAAGGCATCAGCTGGGGTCGGAGAGAAGGCAGCGGTCAACTTCTTAATAAGGCAATTAATATCAGACTTGTCCGACTTGGGCAGCTGATCATAGACAGACCATGGTGCATCTTCCAGGAACAAGGGCAAATACTGAGTCCGTTGTTCCTCCGACCAACCTTGAATCTTAGCCGCCAGACAACAGACTTCTGATACCACCGTTCAAAACTCTCAGTAGCTGTGTTACCATGAAACTTCTTGATTACTTGATCCAATTTCAGAGACATCTTGTTGATAGGGGTCTGGGCACCAGAATGTACTAGAACTCAACCACTCTTCTCGTTGTAGAAGAGAGTAAAGGAGTAAAAACAAGTATGAATACAATTGTTGGGAATAGGGAATCACTACTCAGCTTAGCTTCAGCTTATCGATATCTTGTCTTACGACACAGTGCGCAATCCTATATCATTCTCTCACAGGCGTTTTTTCTGTTGATGAGGGCATTCTCATAAGGCAGATTATGCTAGAAGGCTTGGTAAAAGGAGCAGAAAGCGAAGAACGGTATCGGCTACACGAAGTATCAATCGACGATCCGTAGGGATTCCGCAAAGATCCGTCGAAAAATTCAAGTCTACGTCTCCGTACTGCGTGGATGTCGTAGATCTAGACACTCTATTATCCATCTCAACATCAAGCCTTGAGGATAGAGACATATTATTAGTAATAATAATACGAGTGGGAGTTGATAGGCTGAAAACAATATTATCACAAACAGTACATTGAACACCTCATCATCACTTGTATCATTATATTAGCATAGCACAGTGGCTAGCGTAGACTTTAGCACAGCTTGTAGGATATTGTGCAATAGGGACGATTGTGGAGGGTCATGAGTAGAGGAGAACAATGTCCTAGTCATTAGTACCTCACTCGTCACATGAATCGGAACAACATGTTGCAAGTTTCGTGGAGAAGCAAGGTATGACGTCCGATATGCGTTGCAGGATGAACGTAGATGGATGATTCCGACTGATAGACTATCAGTGATAGTGCAGGGATCCATGATCGTTCGTGTGATCAAGTTGAACGACTGGTTGACACAGACCGCGAGCCACAACATTGTTGCGGCTGCAACCGTTTTCCCGTCCTAGTCGGTGGCAGAAGAAGGGGCATCAGCATACGAGCACACGCCGGACAATCGTCCCCTTTAGCTGATCGCGTAATGTATCTTGCTCGTGGGTGCTTGATGAGCATCGCTCGTCTTCCCTAGCTTGAGATCAGCTAATCTGCCCCCCAAGATGTGACAGTTCAACTCGGATACATATTTTAGACTGAGAGACGTAGTTCGTCATGGATTCGCAACAGGCCCCCGGCCCCCGTTCACGGTCTCACGTGACATCGCGAGAAGAACTGTCCTGATTAAATCAGGTTGATTCGATCAGGCGGGAGGAAGACGTTCCTATCCGGCGGTCCCTTAGGGAGATGGACAAGCGAGAAAGATCTCTCAGGCACCCAGCACCAGGGGTGCTGAGGTGCTGCACCACAGTGACACAACGGTGACTTGGTGAGAAGATTACGGCGCGGGAGACACTGCACCCAACAATTACTACGGGGTTGGTATGCTTACGCAACGATAAAACTCATGTCATATGACGGCATCATCTTTCTAATGCATGTATGCAATGCAGTTCAACTTCTTGTTACAAGTTTGTGCTAGGTCGCGCAATTTTGACCGTTCACCCCTGGTTTGTGATAGACACGCTGTCCGACGTAGCCTGTTCCGCACGCACACATAGCTGTTCCGCAGCGACATACCTTGGACTTCCCCTCTACAAAATAAGTGTAACGCTCAACACTTGTGGACCCGACAAGGTCGACATTATGAAGTTGCAGATCTCTCAGAGATTGGATTGCTGCTGTGCTGTTGAATTAGTAATTACTATTTGTATTAATACGCAGTACTGTACTATTAATTGATGGCTCATCGATGATTGATGTACCCTGTTGTGTTACTCTTCTCGAATACGATGGTATCCGTATCACAGTCCACGAATTTCAACGCCTCAATGCGCATTCTCGTCGGTCTCATCGTCGCTGTCGCCGTTAACGCCATCCCCAACTCTAAACCGTCTGGTTTCTATTGCGGTTCTCTGGATACCTCCCCAAAGGGTCGAACTGATATCGGGATCAGCATGTCAGACAGTCACGAGTTCGACATTAAAGCCACGTCGATTTCCTATACTAGTGGTTCTGTGCGCAGTGGCATCGAGCATGGCGTGCCCTACTCGTACGATGACTCGACAAAATATGTGACCGTCACGGATACGAGCAAGCTGCAGGATCTGATCACCAAAATAGATGCTTCCCTGAAGGCCTCTGATCTCGCTCGTCTACGTTATGATGGCACGAGATTGTTTGTCGTTGCTCTCAAGAACTCCCCCCTGGATCGATGTTAGCCCAGGTCAGTGACCCAGTTCTCGCTGAGATCTGTGAGAATCTCATAGTAAGACTCAGGCAGGCATCAGTGCAAGGTCTTCCGAGCACTGCTCCTTGTAGAACTCTCGTTATTATCACTATTTTAAGTTCGATTTTTTTCCAGCGATCTCTCTTTCGCTACGTTTTTTCTCCGATGAGTTCAGGAATCCTGAATCAGGATGAGCGGTTGATAATTTCGCATTACCTGGTCTACTAGATTGAGTACGGTAATGAGATCCTCAACTCAAGCTTGTCCATGGAGTATCGAGTCCAGATATCGATACAGCGACTATTTGAAGTTCAATCTTTGTTT